CCCCCCCCCCCCCCCCGCCCTTTCTCGCCCCCTATTGTACGTAGTTACTAATCATGTCTCGAACTTTCCTTCATTTGGCGATTTTGAAGGAATCTGACTGGGAAAATATGAATTCTTCAGGAGATCTTGAGCGAGTATCGGAAGAGTAATTGTGACAAGGACAAATGAGTAATTTTGTGGGAACACTGCCATTTTATTGGATGCTGATAGACCGGCATCTTTCCTGAGCTAGAGATATTCGAAAAGGGAACGAGTAACTGTACCAGCTACAGTATCAAAAGAAATGTTGAAAAACCCAATGTTTACTGGTTGAAGGTAGTAGCGCGAATGGTTTTTTACATCCTGTCAGCTATTGAATTAGGTTGCCGTCCTTTTACTTGATTTGCTATAGCATTATAGAACCTATCAGAGAAGGATATTAACGTGTAAATTCCTGGAGAGCACGAAAGCTGGTATGTTTAATCTACGAGATGATATAGAGCCTGAACGAGGTCCTCACTGCCTTTTTCAAGAATGAGCAGTGGAGCATGAAGCTCAGATATCGATTCCTTCCTGAAGGGCGCCGTCGTAGGTGGTCTCCTTTCATCGGACGGACGTGTTGTAAATTGAAGGGCATGTGTCAAAGTGTCATTTCACTAGAACTGAACAATTCATAGAAAAGTAATTGAGCCAGACGACAAGGCAAGGGCTAATGGGTGAACGTCTTCTTGCATCGACTTATCGTTCCGTTTCGATGCTTTGAACATAGCTGTAGTGGCGCTAAGTTCCAACTGATTTTTAGGGGAAATTTTATAAGCTGGTAGTTCTTTCCTTCCTGTTTTTTTATGTTTATGTGCCATTCATGGAGAAAGACCTTGATTAAACAGTGGTGCTAACGACAAGGTGCCCCAACAGGGTGGTCAAGCTTTCCTCACGGTTCGACTTGAGTCTCAATGTGTTGAGAGTGTAAAAGCTGTATGAACCCGTGAAAAAGAAAGGCTGTGACATTGCCGGTGTCGAAACGACGTTGCAGGGAGCCGATGCCTTTCCACAGAGCTTTACACATTCCAAGAAGAAGGCTGAGACGTTCTGGGACCACAAGCATAGTCCATCGTCAACTATTGTGTCATTCATTCCATTGCCACACCCGCCAGCAAAGCTAACGGGATGGTTATTTTTCCTCTTTCTTTGATCGTCGATCTCTTTGCTATTCTGAGAACGTAAGACAAAGAAGTTTTTCTCTCTGCTTGTGTAAAATTCCACAAATTTCCTATCAAGTAGACTTCGGGTGTAATCATATCACTGAAAGTTATACTGGTTCAAAGCATTCTCACTTGTGTTCAGTAGATTACTCGGATTAAGGCCTCCTAGATGATTGAATAAACTTCCACGTAAGTGAATTTTCATGGAAACAGCTGAATAAGTTCCCGTACAGTTGATTTATGACATGGCGGCCATCTGGCCTTGCTCCGCCCATCACCCTTCGAAACACCCGGTGCTCGTCAACCCGGCTTAGTTCATGTCATCATCGTCCTCGTCTTCGGCACAAATCGCAAAGGTAAAGTTGAAACTTGTTTTCAACAGTGTTCTGCCTGTTGTTGTGAATTGTTTCATAATTTCCCATATACTCCTTCAAAAAGTTGTGCTACACTCAACCTGTTTCCTCAGCTTCTGTTTAGCTAAACTTCAGGTTTTTGTTGTTTAGCGCTGGCTGGAGTTCTTCAGTTCTTTAATTCATTATCCAGAGGGGAAAATCAGATTTTTCTAAAATTTTTGGGGGTTCTGCTTCTAGTGTAAAGGCAATTNAATTTGCCATTGTGATAAAATGGTTTCTCAGTGTAATGCTCGTCAATACGAACACTGGACTGTTTGAGTTCACGAGTATTTTTCGATAAAATTTTGTAAGAGGATTCAGAAGGCAAGCGTGATGAGAAGCGACTTGACCACTGGGGCCGTTGTTGTTCATGTCGATCGCCATCCTTCCAAATTCTTTCCCACTTCGCAGAATTCTCGGGTCTGGGCCGTTTATGAGCTGAGCTTTGATAGTTCAGTAGAGAATTTGGATGAGTTGCAGCTTTATTCCGTCACTTACAGCTATTGGTGATTCACCACGACGGGGTGCCCATCATTAGCCCCTGTTTCTTCAGTTTTAAGCTGTCAGCAGACTAAATAGATCAATTCTGGGTCACTGAAAGAGCTGCAGTTCTTGAAGGGATCCTCCTAGCCACTTACGCGTTCTCCTTCAATCTTCACCAGGGCAATTATGCATTTCCACACCAATATGACTAGTGGGGCAGCACGAACATCGTATGGCTCCCGTCAGCTGTCAAACGTTCTAGCTTTTCTCATTAAATAAAAAGTCCATGGCTCGGCATTGCAGTGATTAACCTGACGCATCTTTCATAATTGATTTACGATATAATTTAATTATTCCATTGAAAAATAGAAGGTGATTACGGCACGTTTATTGAGGAAACGAAACTAGAAACTTGTGGCAAATCCTAAGAGACTGATACTGGTTACTGCTTAACTGGTACTCAGCTACTCTCACGAATTTCATACTGTGATCCCCAGCAGTGATCGCGCGGGCTCCAGTAACCTTCACAACGAGAAATAAACCATTGATTGAGTCCAAGCATGAGTCTTTTCTGAGTAGACTGTTTTACCTAAGTAGAGCTGTTCATACTTTGCTTTCCTAAATCATTTTCCGCTAGGGTTGGAGGACTTAGTTTATTTACTCGATTATTTGTTGAACGTGTCGAATAAACAAGAGATTCAAATGCGTAATTTTGGGCAAAACAAAATGACTTGCGGGTAGAATACATAGTAATTGTCCCATTTACACAGTTACTCGAAAGTAATCTTGTGGAAAAGTACACAAAAATCTAAACAGCCTTCAGTATTGGAGAAACTTGTGCGGTCGAGTATCCTAACTGCTCCAGTTGATAGGCTTAGCCACATAACTTGATCTATCGTTCTGGCTGATTTTATCGATAAGTATTCCCTCGCTTCATGATGTTTGTTTGTTTTTTTGCATGTGGCACTAATTGTTTATTCTCAAAAGCCCGTTGAAGCGTCTCTTCTAAGGCAGTAAGCGCAGGATTTTGTTATGGCATTGTTATCCAGCCGAAAACGTAATTACTGGCCGAGGCAATCAATACGCCCTGCCGTGGGTCCTATACCGACGACGGACTTTGGGCGAGATTTATATTTCAAGAATTAACTGCTTTTGTACCTTTTTCACCCCTTCAAATCTGTGGGAAACTCCCACTGCCCGGTGCCACTTTNTATGCACGCGTACGTATACGTTTTATTCACGAATATGCTTTTTATTATATAATAAATGCAAGAGAACTGATGGGAGATGGCAAGGGTCTGGGAAAAAATCTATCTAGGGAGAGATACTCCACCGAAAATGGAATTTTTTTTTGGAACATTCAAGTATGCATATGTAAATAATGTTAAATATGAGGACAACTGAAAGTTTTAGAGGCAAAAAGTATGGAATCGGAATAGCGACAACTGGCATGTAGGAAATTTTCAAACCGAGCACAAATTCAAGTGAAAATCCGAGTTCAGCTCATCACTTGTGAACTTTGCTGATTTATACATCATTTACTGATGTATAAATTTACTTTACTCTACTTTACTTCTGATGTTTACTATACTTTTGCAATTCTTCTGCGAAAAACTTTCGGAATTATTCAAACATTGAGTAAAGCAGTAAATTGGTGTAAGACTTCATAACCGTGGGATGCAGGAGGGCATGTGTGAAACACAAGATTAGCTGCGAGCGGAGGCGGCGCGGTCGGTCAGGCTAGATAGACGAACACTATTCCATCCGCACCTGGGTTATAGAGAATTCAGCAAGTATGCCACCTGGGAACCCGCTAATTTCAAGATTTCTTTTTATTTGTGGTCAATTTCAATAACTGTTAGACCTGCAATTTATAGTTTGAGCTTGTAGAAGTTGAACATTTCTTTCTTTCTTCTCCAGCAGTCGATCTCTTAATGCGTGCTCGTAGTTAACTTGGGTAGATGTGTGATACACTCTTCCACGGTTGAATGACTTCATTCGGCTACAATCGAGTTTCTGATTGTTAGAGTAACAACTTAGAATTTGTATCCAGTACAAATCGTGAAGCATGTACACTTTGTCTTTGTGCATGATATGAAACCTCTGTTATCTTTAGCTTACGGCTAGTCTGAAACCCTAAAGCTTTTCAAAAAAATCGGTTGTCAGAATTTTACTAAATGGCCGCTAATGATTTAGGATGTTCCGCCAGACTACGAAACCATCGGCACAATATTCGGCTATGCACTTGTGGCGTTATCCTGGCTCCTAATTATTCTCACGTTCCCATTTTCTATGTGCGTATGTCTCAAGGTGAGCGAACAGTTTAGCACGTGCTACTTTTTCCCTATTACGGCGCTTATCGATAGATATTGATCGGATCGCGTTCGCGCGCGAAGCGGTGTGCTGCGCTCGCCGCTGTGCCGCGTGCTGCAGATTTCAATGGGTGGTTGGAGCGCGCCACGTACTAGTCAAATCTGAATGATTGCGCCGCGAATTCATTCGGCAATTACACTCATTGCAGTTTGATGCTGTGATTCAGAATTCAGACCCATACTCCGCCATCCCTTGAGGTTCTGCGCTACCTGTCTGCGTGCGTAATCAAGCAGGAATATCTCTATCCAACAGTATTGCAGGTTATAAAAGAATATGAAAGAGTTGTTATATTTCGAATTGGTCGACTAGTGTTTGGTGGTGCTCGAGGACCTGGAATGATCTTCATTATACCTTGCATCGATACTTATAGAAAAATCGATCTTCGGTGAGTGGAATAGTTGTGTTTGCATACTTGTTTGTATTTACTGTTTGTTTGCAATAAGTAAATCTTTCATATGTATCAACAGTTCACTTATTCAGAGTGGTTTCCTATGCTGTACCACCACAGGAAATCCTATCAAAAGACTCCGTGACAGTGTCCGTGGATGCTGTCGTTTATTTCCGGACGTCCGATCCCATCGCTTCTGTAAACAACGTGGATGACGCTATTTATTCGACTAAACTCTTGGCCCAAACAACCCTCAGGAATGCCCTGGGTGAGTGATAATGGAAAACTGGTAGAATACTTCCAGTGTGCCATGAGTATGATGGAATTAAGGTATGAAAACATTGACTGAAATGTTGACTGAACGAGAGGCCATCGCACAGCTGTGCGAGACAATTCTGGACGAAGGCACGGAACATTGGGGTGTGAAGGTTCGTTCAAATCCATTTTAAATTGAAATCTTCTTGGAATACACAAACAGAGACTTTTGAACAACCGCTCCTCCAATTTATTCAAACCTTTGCCAATGTTGCTTTATCTCCGAAGTGGAGTCAACGATAAATCAGTCAATGACCTTTTTATTGATTTTTTTTTTCAAAATTACCGCTATTTTCGGTCCCTTCGTGGGTTCCTCTCCTTTCATGTGCCGTTTCTACTCCCATTGGATTAGTTGCACCATCAACTAGCTGTTAAGGGATACTCCTTTTTTGGCACTCCCTGAATTGGATCCATTCAATTCCTTTTCGAGATAGACTTTCTTCTGTGCAGTTGGAATAGGATCGTGTAGAGGGGTTCGTCCCTGAAGTAACATTAAGTGAACATGAGCAAGGGGAAAATGAAAAGACTTCGAATCCACTGTCGATTGAGCTCTGTGGTCCGGACTTCTTCAAAAATTTCAAGCGCTATGCTGTAATACTAATAGTTAGAAGTAGCAGTGTTAGTGATAGGCAGGTTTCAGCTCAGTCAGCAAGACCCTCTAATTGGGAAGTATTACTTCAATAGAGTGCAGTCTAGAAGTTTCATTTTCGTTTAACCGATTGTCTCTTAGGACAGAAGTACCCCGTAGAGTCACAAGAAAAAGAAAATTGTGGGTTAAGTCTACTCCTTGCCATAGTCTTACTTGTGCTTCTTAAGTTAGACGCAGTTACCAAAGGGTACTAGTATAACTCCATTTAGGTAGAACGAGTGGAAGTGAAGGATATCAGGTTACCTCAACAGCTTACTCGTGCTATGGCTGCAGAAGCAGAGGCCGCTCGAGAAGCTCGAGCGAAAGTTGTAGCAGCAGAAGGAGAACAGAAAGTGCGTTTCGTATAAAAACTTCTGGCTTTTCATTTTGCAAAAATGAATTGGAGTTTTTCAGGCTTCTCGAGCTTTGAAAGAAGCAGCAGATGTCATTCAAGCGAACCCAGTCGCCTTACAACTTCGGCATTTGCAAGCGCTCAACAGCATCGCGTACGAATTTGTTTTTCCACGTATTTTTAAATTATTTTGCATTTAGATTAAACCCTTACTTCATCTTGAAAGTCTTTTTTAGAGCTGAGCACAATTCAACAATCGTTTTCCCGGTGCCGGTGGAAATGTTCGGTGCTTTCATGAAGAAGGACAATTGACCACTGTCCTAATTGATTGCTTGCATGTTTATTATATTTGAAATTATTTTAAATTCCTAATGCTATAGACAATGTGCAATACACTGTTAGACTGACACATCTGGCCACCAGATGAATCAGTTACGATCAATCTATCTTTAGGTGTTCCGTTTTCCTCCTCACTCACTCTTCCTAGTGTCTCGCTGACTCGATTTTCTTGGTTCATATTTTATTATTTCTTATTATTGTTTTTCTTTGTTGTGCAACGATTTCATGTTCATCTCAAAATTTTCGCCAAATACTGTATTTGTACCGACGATTTGCGTGATCAACAGCTGAATATTTTCATTTCTAACAGTTAGCTAAATGACGATGACTGTTAGCCAGCTAATTTATTGGCTTACAACGATAGATCGACAGAGATTTTCATAATGTACACCGTGGTATAAGTTGTACATTAAGAAATACATATTGATTACTTTGTTCTAAATGTGCCAAAGAAGATTTTCATTTTAAAGTGTTACATGTCCTTTTGTTTACCAGTTAATATTAACAAGTTACCACAGGTAGTCTAGACTTCAAAGTACATCTGTTTGCAAGCAACAGTGCCTTCTAACAAGCCCCTCTACTTGTAGTCATCACCCACCCATGCATTTTAAATTTGTAACAGCTGGGCAACTTTAATTTTCGATTTCACGGTAGGATCCTCTTTCAGTTGAGTGTCCTTCCCTTGTGAAACAGGAGCCTACCACGGAATCAACTCATCTTGGCTAATATCAGTTTTTTTTTATAATAGGAATTCCATTACGATTGTGAACTTCAAAACGGTCAAAATGTGGGTTTAAATCATTTAAAGCATGAAATCTGTTCCAAAAACTATACAGTGTTACCAGTGAATAACATGAATTTCTTTTGCAATAAAGCAACTTTGGAAGAGGGAACTTGCAGGGCTTCATGAGTGTAGTAAGATCAGGGATATGGTGCAGAGGAAGAAATGATTAGTAGAGGCACCGATTATGTGTTGGACCCAGCAGAGTAAATTTACTAGAGGGTCTTTTGATACAAATCTAACATCTAACAATCTAACATATTGTTTACTAGTTTCCCTGCAGGGCTTGATACATATTTTTACTTTTTCATTGTTGTTTCGATTTACTCATTCTTCCACCTACAGCCGAGTAAGTGGAGGTGTCAAGAGTTTCCGCTCATAATTAAACTTCCCTACTGCCCTGCAAGGAAACTAGTAGACAGAAGATGGGATGTCAGATTTCCCCAATCGATCAGACTATTTTCGAACTGAACTGGCCCGGAAAATGGAATGATTTNACCCTTTCATTTAACGAGAATAACTTCTAATAAATACCAGAACAGGAGTGCTAACGTTTACTTTTCAAGAACTGAGAGAATAATTAGAGTAAGAGCTGGAAAGTCACTGCGGGGTTGGCGATGGCGACGGAGAATCCAAGCGGGACGCCGAAGTTATGATCTCCATTCCATCACCGACCACAATTCCCCCAACACTATAAATGACAACGTTTGTTACAAAACGATTATAATAACAGCGATTTCTATCTTTCATACTATTACAATTACTGCAGTAAGTGCTCTAATTAGTTGTGTTTGCTGCAGAGGTTCCTACTCTTCAAGGAAGTTTGTTTACATCAAAACTCACTATGGATCGGCAATGAGATCCTTTGGGTGAAGTACCGAGCTTCGATAGTGATAGACCATGGCTGGCTGAAAATTGAAAAAATGTGGGGAGCACGTTTCCTCGCAAGCAACTAAGAAAGCCGAGTCATGCGTGTATCGAGGAATCACGAAGAGAGGGATGGCTGGATGGGACCGGGGTAGGAGGTCATAAGGTTTGCCATAAGTTCAGCGCTTAACAACTAAGCCCTGAACAAAACAGGGTTTCAGGGGAAAGAGGGATGGTAAACGAGGCCCCATTACATTGCGTAAGTGTTGATTTTAAGTCCATTATGTGTTCAGAGGAAATATAAAGAAGACTATATTGAGGTCAAATGGGTTTCCCTATTCACAGCTATAATCTCGTTCAAGTAAGTTTGTTTACTCCATTCCATCACCGACCACAATTCCCCCAACACTATAAATGACAACGTTTGTTACAAAACGATTATAATAACAGCGATTTCTATCTTTCATACTATTACAATTACTGCAGTAAGTGCTCTAATTAGTTGTGTTTGCTGCAGAGGTTCCTACTCTTCAAGGAAGTTTGTTTACATCAAAACTCACTATGGATCGGCAATGAGATCCTTTGGGTGAAGTACCGAGCTTCGATAGTGATAGACCATGGCTGGCTGAAAATTGAAAAAATGTGGGGAGCACGTTTCCTCGCAAGTAACTAAGAAAGCCGAGTCATGCGTGTATCGAGGAATCACGAAGAGAGGGATGGCTGGATGGGACCGGGGTAGGAGGTCATAAGGTTTGCCATAAGTTCAGCGCTTAACAACTAAGCCCTGAACAAAACAGGGTTTCAGGGGAAAGAGGGATGGTAAACGAGGCCCCATTACATTGCGTAAGTGTTGATTTTAAGCCCATTATGTGTTCAGAGGAAATATAAAGAAGACTATATTGAGGTCAAATGGGTTTCCCTATTCACAGCTATAATCTCGTTAGAGTAAGTTTGTTTACAACACAATCAGATGTGAATGAAAGAAGTTAGAGAATAACAAATGTGAATTAAATGAGATATAAAAGTTGTACTGTATGTTACTGCCGTGATTAACGCGATATCATAGAAAACATCAGTAGGCGAACCACTGTTACCAATGTTTTGAGATCCTCCCCAGACCGGACCATCATTTTGGCACCCTGATAAGCACTTAAGCGATGAATGGTTATGAACGGTTGACCAATTTGGTCCAGACCATGTCACCAAGAAAACTTGAGCAGAAAGTTCTCAAGCACATGTGCAGGCCCAATATTTGGACTGAGAGCATAACCCGGATCTCCGCAGATCGTTGACTTCAACTTGACCTCGTCGGTCTCCCTATCAAATTCGTATCCACCAGGGCTCGAAGTGCAGGATTCCGCAAGGGAAGAGATGTCAATGTGACTAAACTTACGTGGACTAACCACCGACTAAAATAGAAGATCTATTTTCGAGTTATAAATCTTCCGAGCTCTACTAGTGAACACGAACCACTTTTAATTATGATATTTTAGGTTTTTTTTATTCGTTCTTCCCTGCTCCGATCTTTCAGTGCTCTCATTTCCATTTCGGACGTACGTTATATTCACCTATTTGTGAGTCTTGCTACAATTCCTGATGGTGCTTCTTTAATTTTTGTCTCAGTCCTTCTTCATCTCATCCTCCCCATTCCTATACTAGCCCAACAACACAGGTGAATATGGAAAAGAGCACAACGAAATGGCCGCTTTCATAGTACGCTGGCCGGCCGGGATGGTGCTTGCCACTTGTTTGTAATTTGAATCTCGATCGATACCCCGCCGGGGCGCGCGCTCGCGGGCCGGCTGACGGACTATGAAAGCAGCCAATTGAACAGGGAGGTCATATTGGGATCAAATTTGAGGAGCCGGGCCGCATCGGTGAACCTTCTCGCCTCGATACCAGGCTTGATCATGCACGATTAAGGAAACCTCACCTCGCTTTGTTCTTCGACGTCTACCTGATACACAGCATACATACCGAGTTCGTAGGCGGCATGAATACGGAGAATTTCCCCATCCAATTCAAGGGCAAGCCCTCAAATATAGTGAATTGTGTCGGAAGATAATTGAAATCAATGAGGTGGACAACAAAACTTGTCACAACTGTTTCTAGCCATGTGGGAGAAAGTACAGGATCACGTATGGTCGCTCACCCAATGACCCCTCATAAGGGATTTTATAGAGGCAGGATCTTCAATAGAATCGGATAACGTCGGAAAAAGAAGTGTCTGGTTGGTTTTTATGTTAGGCCGTGAAAGGGCAAATGAAAAATACATTGTAATACTGTAAGACCCAGTAGTGCACCGCTCATGTGAACCACTCGCCATGTACTGGCCTTTTTTCAGATGATTCCTCCCTAGGGTTCGCGTCAGTAATGAATTCTTTTGCAGCTCAGAAGTGACGAAGTAATAGTTTTGAATGCGTTTGTAAAGCTTTGGCCAAACCTTGCGGCTTCAGGCAGCTACCGCTCTGGCCTTGCCGGGGTAACGGAACTTCTCCCCGAACTCCCACGGCAAGCGGTAAAGTCACGCGGCCGCTCCCCTACTCTTTCACTGGAAGTTCAGACCTTTCCCCGCATTCGCGCGCCGTCGGGTACGGCCGCGAGTGCAACGTCGTTTTCGGAAGGAGATCCCGAGCCCAGTCTTGCCGCCCCCATCAAAGGTTCAGATAAATGTTAGTAACTGTTGCAGACAGCCACCGGGTGAACGAGCCAGAAGCTTCAACCTTGTTCAAGGCATTACAAACATATTTGAGAAAGTCTTAAGGCCTGCGTGATGGTATATGCAGCACTCCAAATAGCCACCTTGATATTGAATGTCCATCCAGTTGAATTTTTCATCAGAAGCCTCTCCTAGGGTCTGGACTGGACACAAAAAAGAGCGACCTACCACCGACTGACTCATCGAAAAACTTGATGATGGCTAGCTGGGCCAACGATTCTCCACCAACAATGCGATACACAGTGATTCTGCCAGTATCGGATCCAACAGCGACGAAGCGGCGTGACTCACAGCCGACAGTAGCCAACGAGATAAGCCGACGATGGTCAACACGGACCTCAAAATAACATGAGCTCAGCATAGGAAAGTTCCCAACTCAGTTGGCCTCATCTAGACATAAGTAACGATAATACAAGGTGGATTTCTTAATCGCAAATAAACTTTAGAAAAAGCCTAACAACTGATCCCGACTTTTTAAAATTTTTTTCAGATGTAATCCGCAGCGTTTTGAGCCGCTACTGAAGAAGTGTATTTGAGTGATTATAAGAAGGATAAAAGATAAAGTCTTTAGGTGTCGACCAACTTCATCTGAGGGATGCGCCCCGCATTCAACTTTCATCCACACCGTCTGGGCGTATTGAATGCGTATGGGGCCCATACAATGAGTTGCGGTGGCCAGCCAATGTACAAGTCAGTGCTCTTATCCTCCCAGACGAGTGTGTTACCGAGTGACCAACCCCGAAGGAATGGAAGGCTTGGTCGGCTTATTGTTAGGCGGATAGGGTGCAAACTTGGAATTTTTGTGGGTTGAGCAAGGTGTTTACAAGAACAATAAATGCTTACGGAGGCGACTTGTTTAGCAGCAAAATTACTGTTTGCTTTCCAAAGAAACATTTGACCATTCGATGTCGCTGCACAAATGTAAAATAGACTATTCCATTTCCATGATTGTACCTGAAAAAAAAAACAGTTTTTAGAAAAAGTTCCTGAAAACATACGGTCACCCTCTGCTACTGGTGTATTGTCACCAAATGCAATAAGAAAAACGACATATGGAAGCACCCACTTTTTCAAAAATTTCGTCTTTTTTACTTGCCAACGTGCCAAAATCGCTTGACTTCTTTATTTCGACTGCCATTGTGGCGGCATTAACCGCGATGTCTAAGCATCTTAAATAGTAATGGTAATGATTTCCTCAGAATGATTGCTCCTTTACAGTTTTACAACGGAATACTCACATTATTTTGCCATCACCGTATGATACAACACAAAGATAGGAATTTGCAGTTCTCACGTGTTTCTAAAAGACAGTAAAAACGAGACACACAACTATACCGAGTCAGGTTCTTTAGTTGGGGCTTATAAGGGCTCTGCAAATCTTTACGCTATGTATGTCTGATTTCTAATCGCATATATGTATATCTAATCTAAAATTCATAAAATTAGTCAGAACTATCAGATCCTACTGTCCAGCATGTGCTAAAAGATCCCTTTCGAATAGGGTTTACTCTCGATCTGCTCGGCTTTCTGATTCCCGGGTACTTAGACTTACGTGCGTCCGAGGACGCGCGCGGCAAATTGCGCGGCGAAGTTCGTAACGATGCAAACGACTTCAGCGCTTATCATTGGGGCCCAAGTTTGAAGTAGAGTAGATAGGAGGATCATCTGCCCCTACTAAACTACTTCACTTCGAGTTTGTGCCCAAAAAATTGGCGTCAGAGTCATACAAATTGCCGCGAACTTCGCCGCGCAAGATGCCGCGCGCATCCTCGGACGAACGTAGTGCACGTCCCCCTAATTCCCATATCTGAGAAGTATGTAAAGGAACGACGAAATATACGTGTAAAACACTAGGTTTATCAAGATTCTACGGATAAATGTCTTACGTTTGCGATGTCTAAATGAACGACGCGACAATTAGCTCCTTTACGCTTGAATTCGACAGAAGGAACGACATAGTTGGCTGCGCGAACGAAGTCTGAAGACATAACAAGTGTTTTCATATGCAGTATTGTAACCAATTATCCAGTAGTCTGGAAGTATAGCAAATAAGAGGTGATAAAGGATTTTAGAACAAGGGGCACTGAATTTGTTGTGCCTATCTCGTTGATCATTGAGGGTCATGAGAAAAAGAACAAAGTTTTCAAGCTGCTAGTGATCCCGTTTTCGAGTGCGCCCTGCATTCGACTTTTTTGGGAACCGAAATGGAGTTTGAATGCGCATGTGGCTTACATGGCCAGCCGATGTACAAGTCAGCGCTTTCATGCTCCGAAACGAGTCGAGTAGCAATTAATTGAGTGGGAGGAGTTTGAAGGTTTAGTTGGCTGGGGTGGGTATCGATCCGGTGTTCGATACCAGACCCATGCGGGTGTGATAGTGCGACTACTTCACCAAAAACGTCTTTATTATAGATTGAAGGATGGAAATATACGCCATTACTTTCAGAAGCATACCAATTGCTCACTAGTGCTCACTCTTGGTGATCTACCTCATGGAAGGTTAACTTTGTCCTTTTTCCCGTCAAGCAATGAGATACGCCCTGTTATCAATGGATACTACAACTTACTACATGGACGAATCGAATATGCCATAATGACGCCGTTTGCGGTTCCAACGATAATAATCCACCCTTGTGCTTTCACCTCAATACGCTCGACGCAAGTCGGATGCGCTGGAGTGTAGAAGGCCAATGGAGTGATCCAGCCTGAAGAAAATATTGGAATTACTGACAATGCGACATTTTCATATTTTTTATGGGTGGAAGGGAAGTTATAGTTCTGTTTCCGTTTGAAAAGTGGTCTGGCTTTTTATTCCCCACCAAAACAGGGAGCCAGGTTCGAATTCAAGAGAAAACAAAATTTTGCGATCACATATCGTCTAACAAAAGATCCCCATCAGAGGGAGGATTTTATTTGTTAAGATTTCTGCACCAGTCGAAGAGTAGATGCAATCAAGCTGTTTTCTGTGGAATGGCGGTTACTGCAGTATATTCAGAGGAAATTATACATACCTGAATTACCAGCATCGAAGCGGAACACATGCATGAAATGGTCTTCACTAACGGTGACACCGTACATAGAGAACTCGTTCCAGACAAGAATACGTAATGCACAGATCTTACGTCGATGCAAAGGACCAACCACGTATCGTATTGGACTCAGCACCATGGTGATAGAATTGTAGCTCTAAAATGGTGTACTCACTAGAATTATATAGCACTGCAGACTACTAAAGTTAAAGGCACGGTTCACGATAAAAATGGTTACTGAGTTCTTCCCTTAAGAATACTCAGTGGCCCCATGGGTAATAGAGAGGACCCTCTCACGCCCAAAAACTCGACGGTTAGGGCATAGTGGAAGCCCTGTTCCCGGCTCGCGCGGCCTTCCCGCCCCTCGATCGATGTCACGTCAGAAGAGTGTCGAGGTGATACAGGTTGCAATTATTCGTACTAGGACCCACACACAATCAGCTGGTCGCCGAGAGATGAGGCGATGTCTTTCTCCCATCCTTTTTCTGTGTTATTCTTTTACTGCTGCGATCCTCATTCTTATTCTCTACCTCAAGAGGACGAAAAAGGTAAGCCATTCTTCCTATTACTAGGGTTTTTCGTTTACTTATGCTTACAAGTGAATGAATTCTTGCTTACCGTAGTCAGTTATCTGCACAAGGGCCCACCGTACGCAATGACCCACATTGTATAGCTCGTCCAACGCCCCACCCTTTATCATTCTTCTGGTCTCATTCTCGTCCAGCCCCCTTTTTAACAATTTTTCGAGGCCTTTTTACGTTTTGGGAATACCTAATCACGCAGTTCCTTCACATTCAGCGCACTATTCTCCATCTTATCTTCCATTTTTCGTCATAGTCTGGATTACCCTAAATTATCGTGAACTGTGCCGACCCTAGTAAAAAAGTAGCGGTGCTAGAAAATCAGTGTTATTACTCTGAATGAAAAAAATGAAACACACTCACTTTTTTACGCAGAAATTCGAGAGTGGCGGTAACTCCATACTTTGGCTTCTGGAGTGGTTCGACTGATCCACCTTCCATTTCTTCCTCATCTTCTATATCTTCTATTTCGACAACATACTCTTCTTCGTCATATTCGTAAGCTACACTATTTTCATTGTATTCTGTTAAACAGTAATCAGTTTCGCCATTCTGGTTGCCATCGGTGCGATAATCTGTTCTAGACTGCTGTGACTGCTGTCGAACGTGTGTTTCATTCTGCAGATGCACTTCAACAGATTCCACTTGGACGGCTCCATTTTCTTCTGAATTCAATGTAAGCCGTTCCATGGCTCGTATTTCTGATTCTTCTTCTTCGTGCGCCATCTTCAAATTCTCCTTCTCTTGTTTATTCTGTGCTCCTTCAGGTTGCTTTTTCTTTATGTCTACTACTCCAGTACTTTTTCTTTCTTCGTTTAATAACTTCTGCACAACAAGTTCCACTTCTTGAAATGCAGGAACGATCATCGGTGAATTTGTTTTGGCTCTTTCTCTTGCTTCTTGCTCCTGGATTATGTCTTCTAGAGTTTTCTCCTTTGTTTCCTTTTCATCTCGTTCTCGTGTCTCCTCTGGAGGGATTCTGGCTCCTTGTTCTTCCTGTTGCTGGTCTTCCTGTATTTCTTGTTGTCTGTCCTGTTGAGGATCTTCTTCCCGCTTTCTTTGCGCATATGGCCACGCCACGTGAAAATCCCACTGACGACGAATTCCACCGCAGTCGATTTTGTAGACTATTTGGTGTTTCATATGGTGGATAACATAAAACATACTCTGAAATATACAAATCGCAAATTAAGCATCGAAGCAATTCGCAAGTTCATAGAAAGGCCCACGTCTCAGTATGAGAAACGTGCCACCACACATTACCCGCTCCAATCACCCATTCACTTCTATGATAGGCCCGGGTACCGAGAGAGGGCATCCCGTTCAGAAAAGGTTTTACATCCGGGTACTTGTGGCAGGCGTGCACCAGTCTCACGATGGAAAAGAAGGATCAACTCGGGGCAAAGACGCCCACGTAAACTAGAAATCCACCAAGAGCAAAGGCGCCGATATCTACTCCTCTGGGGTGACGGTACTTCTCCCCGAACTCCCACAGCGAGCGGTAGTGGTCACGCAGCGGCTACCCTATCTTTCTAGTGGGAATTCGAACCTTCCCCTTCATAGCGCACGATCAGGTGCGGCGAGTGCGGCGTCGCTTTCGGGGAGAAGATACCGGATCCGCTCCACCGTAGCGAGGCGTCGTAGTGGCACCATCTCACATGCGTAACTTATGGTCCCCTGTTTTGACTTTATTGAAATGACCAAGTATCATATGCTGCCCCACCGAGTACCGGGACGTTTTAGTAGCATAGAGAACCCCAAGCATATCCTAGCTAACCAAAAAATAGAATTTGGAATGAATTCAAGGACGGGCAATGAACTTGCGAATAGTTGAAATTGTCCAAAGTCACATTGTACACTTACCCCACGGAAGCCCAACACATAGATGATATCCGGAGTAAAACAACATGGCCTAAATCCTTTGAGCCAGGGACATATTGGACGACTTGCTACTAACTTGATCGGATTGTTGCTCAAATCTGAATTCAATGCTATTATTACACTGGTACTCGGAAAATAAAGTGTAAAAGAAGAAGTATGATCAAACCTAAAGTGCAAAATACTATATTTCCGTTATGGCCCAAGAGCACGAGCTCATCAAAGGCTGAATGCATATGGCTGATCGGTTTCCGGGAGAAATGCTTGTTAAGCTGAAAATGCCTAATTGTATCCATCTTCGATTTCCAGTACTACGAAAAAATCATGGCGTTCAAAAAGAATCTGTCGTAAACTTCGCCATAGTATAGGATTTTGCTGGGATATTCGGTCGAGCCGAGCGAGTATGTAACCGGACTCGAACTTGTGAAAGAGTACATGTCTTATATGCGATGATAGTTGGACAATTATAGGGTTAAACAGTAAGAAAGAGGGAACTGTATATGTTGTGAACACACAAGCATCGAGGCTTCTGAAATGTTTCTATGAAATTTCCAAAACATCCCAGAAAAATCTGTACCAGTACGAACATTTCGGCAGATACTTTCCGGACGCCCTAACGACATCCTTTTCAAAATCACAGTTCACAAAGAAAAACTGCCAACCAGGACAAACCTGTGGCTTCCAAGAATGCCACATGGGGAGCTGTAGGGTCAAAAAGCGGCTAAAATAGGGCGTAACAAGAGTTCAAAGACCGACTTTGTCAACGTCTACACCCAAAGGTGGACGAGTCTTTTGCAGAGTCCGCACCATTCACGAGTAAAATTCCAAACAACTAGTCGTGACCCTTGAGGACAGTGGAAGGTAGTTTGGACAATTCTCGCGTAATGTAGTCAGCAATTTTGCATTGCAACCAATTAAATCTCGTCCAAACACCCCCACCATGCCCCATTTCCGCCATAGTATCTCGTACAGCCCTCTACTTTCACTACTTTTAGAAATCCTTGAAGTTCATGAATTCCCCGAATTTTCTCATTTTCTTCGCCGTCAATGCACTATTTTCCACAACACCAACACTTCCTCTTTTCAGCTAAAAAAATGGACCTCAAGATTACTGTGGATTGTACCGGACTATAACTGATCAACGCGGATGATGATATGTTGAATGGGGATGAAAGTCATTACCAGTACCATCAATGTGGAACTTGTTCTCATCGAAAGTTACTCAATATGTTAGTGAAAATGTACAAAAAAAAACCTCTTTTGTTGTTTTGCAGATGGCATCTTGCTGACCGTAGGCGTACTTACAGAAGAACACATTTCCGCACTTCGATCCAAGAATCAGGTATAACTGTTTATCCCCAACAAGGGCTATCGTCATTGAGGATATGAAAACTGGACCTTTCAATCGAAGCTCTTTGACTGCTTTCTTAAGCGAAACTCTTCCAATAATCATTTTACCCTCCACCGATAGCAAGTCCTGAATGGCAGAAAGAGTTTTAATGTATTAGGGCACACCATCAAAGATCATGAGAACCGAGACTGTGCGAGAGGAAATTCTTTACCGCTGTGTGGTTAACTTTGAATATCAGTGCGCTTTTTCCAAACATCGTCACCGACGCTATTTTTTCCTTGAATGTCCATTTGAGCCATTCTGGAAAAGATGAGAGATTGTCTATCGGGAGAACTGTTGGCTCGTCTACTTCCATGGCACACTTCTTGTAACCTAATAAACTTTGGTTGAAGTTGCGCTCCAGGATGTGAAGAAGAGCCTTTAATCTACTTGCTCGAGCTAGTCGGTCACGCTAATCCAGCGTTCGACTATTAACAACTGGAAGGAAGACTGAAGATGCCAGATCTATCAATTTGGCAAAAAAATGAAATAGTAACGTGCGAGTACAGAGACCAACTGGCTCAAGCGATATGACGTCGCCGAAAATAAACTGAACTTCATCAGAGCCCCACCCGCACTATGTAGCGCTTAAATTGAAGCCTTACATTCGAGCTATTCATGAAGTACTCTCTCCCGGAGATGGAAATGAGAATTTTCGAAAAGATATGTCATAAACTCGGGGTTAAAAAGAATGTATGATGACGGCAGTAAATTTAATCGACACATAGGACCGATTTTCATTGTGGAATTGGATATGAAGAATCAGTTCGAAGTTCAAGAGGAACCACGGTCATGGCCCTTCCGTAGCAAGTGTAGTTTAAGAGTGGTTTAAAGATGAGGAAATCGATCCTTGCCCAGATCAAGCGAGGGGAGCGAGGGGGGGGGGGGGGAAGATGGAGTGTAAATGCTATTCTCAGCTCTATTACTGGAAACAAGGATCCCTTCCCGCATCCCAGAACCGCAATCATTCGCCTACATTCACCAGTGAGATTTTCGAGACTTACTCGGTATCGAATTATCGAGTCTTTGAAAGAAACTCACTTTTATTCATATAGAATTTGCATGCATGATCTCCAACATGAGCCAGAAAGTTTTGATCGACAATGAAAGTCGGACTTCTTTTCACATACTGGTATACGTCACCATCGTCATCCGTTCTGGAACTGACCGGGTTATTCTTGTCAGAAACCTTGGTTGATGATGTACACGTACGAGAACTTGCTGCTGACTGCAAAAAGGTCATCCCCTACTCGAGCAAACGAGCAAATATTTGATATCTTTCTCCTTCTTTCATGTCGCATTCGCAAATCCGTGATTTTGAAGTAAACCAAAGCACAAGAATCATAACAGATGTACTGAATAAGATTTTTTTTGGAAAAAAAGAAAAAAAAAGAAGGTCGCAGTGTACTGTACCAGTGTGTCATCATGGATGAGCATGGCAAGAGCTCTACCGGCTTTGACATCACGTTCATTCTTAAGATTTGGCCTTCCATCTTCAAAGTGCCACACGCGGAGCTGCTGAAATCGCCAAATTCAGTTATCTTTGCGTGTTTGGAGAAATTGCAAGAAGATTTGAAGAAGGACAGACATAATGATGCGGACCAAAGGAGGTTATGATCGATGGTCACAACATATCCACTGGTGTCAAAGGCAGTGCACAGAGGCCAAGTTGGGAGAGACTTTTGCTTTCTTACCAAAGAAGTAATAAGAGCAAGTTCGGGTGAACGAATGAGCAAAAGCCGTTGACTTTGAGCCAATTCCAATCATCAGGGATATTTAATTGAGAGAATAAAAAATATTTGTATCTGACCCACGTCATCATCGCCGATGGTGTAGTAGAAGTTCTCACTATCATGGCAAACGAGGCGAATCTTCTTCGAGTGCCCATACGAAGTAGCTATCATGTTGTAATTCCTGATATATGCGAAATATATAGAAATCCAAAGGAAATAGTGAGCTGCATCACCAAGATTGTAGAAGAACACATCGAGTTCAAGCACAGGACTAATAATAACAAAGATAATTGACCTTTTGATAGTTTTGGGAGCAATAGAAAGAAGAGATGACGGTTGAAATAAGAAACTTTCCCTACTTTGCCAAAAACATTAGAGCATACTGTAGAGGATACTATGGACGCTAAAGACTCACCAATGGTACGAATCCACCAGCGCGTATTCCAAAGGTGTGTCATCCCAAAAACAGATCTGCTTATCGTTAGTGACAGCACATACGATGCCATCAAAGACATCGATATCATTTACACGATTCTGGAATAATAATGAACTTGCCAACCCCTAACTGGGTGCGCTTCGTTGCGCGCGTCCGTCGAAACTAGGTCACGCCGCAGCCGTCGCATGCGGCGGGTCAGCCCGAGACCTCAAAGAGGTGCGCCGCAGGGGAAGTGGGCGGGGTGACCTATTTTCGACGGACGAGCGCAACGGACGTTCCCCGGCCACAGTACATCACTGCGTAACTGACCGTCGCTCCCTTTAACATTCCACTACAGAGTGGACCATTTTTCGGTGCGTGAATTGCAATGATACCGCTCTTCGTTCCAATGACGGCAACCAATGTGCTCCATGAGTTGCCTCTTATGTAAGCTGTGGTTCTGAGATAGGCGTCGATATAAAAAATCGCAAAATACGAAAGAAGCTTTCGCGAAAGCGGGGTCTACAGAAAACGGAGTAATTCAATCTTATATCGCTTTCACATTTTTCTATGGGAATTCTTTCAACTTCAATGAATTTCAAAGGGAAACTGGGCTTAATAACTGGAAAATCGCTTTCTGTACAATGTTGTTTTACATTATGTCCTGGAAGGACAGCGATTGGGTCCCGAGAAGAGCCGTCATGATCGGTTGTCCTGGCACGAACAAAATTCTGTGGAGCGTTATCTTCCAATCGCTATATAGCACAGCCATCTGAAATGGAAGAGATGGGGCTGCTTAGCCCTCAGGGTACTGAATGAACGCATGTATGGAACATACACAGTCATCGGGTAACATCTCAACACACCACGGATCCACATCGAACGAGTACGCCGACACGCCATGCTCTTTTTGGGCACAGAAAATCCGCTCATCGGTAACGAAGAGAAGACAGTGACGTCCAAGCAGAACGATGCCCTCTGAAAATACCCTGAGGAAGAGACACGACTGGTGTGAACCACGGAACGTCCACGAGCAGCTCTATACTAGGCAAGCTATCACATGCATTGTTAGGAAAACTCGTTCGCTTTTTTGTCACGAAACACTGCAGCATAACACAATAGGAGCGGCCACATGCAAAGTCAGAGAGCGAGTGACTATTCGCTTCGTTTTAGGAGCAAATCAACACAGGTAATATTCAGATACGATAAACTTACAGTCGTCAATTGTACCGTAACATAATATTAATGTTGTCCATTCTTGTGCATTTATGTCGTCTAAAAAGGATCTCGGTAGATGTACAGTAAAATTACAACTGCCTTTGAAGTTCCTTTTCTTAGATTTGAGAAATCAATGGATGCTATTTTGAAGTGTGCCCATTTTGTGATAACAGAGAGGTCCCGGCCAGAATGCTTGCGGCCAAATACCTCATCCAATGGTTACTGTATTGTTCACAGCGCGCCCTGTGTTACACGTTCTATGAAAATCATATTCAATTAATAGAAAAAAATGTTCTGAACTTTAGATTAGCGCATTAACATTCGGCCTATATCGGGTAAGTGGGGTTAGGCGGCCCCATACTGTTACGTCAGCGAAATGCAAGCGTATTGACGACAAGTGAAGTGTTATTCTGAGTGAATTGACAACAATTTAAAAAGATGCATTAAAAGGATACTAGTCCAACTACGGTAATTCATCATTCATGACAGCTGTCCATACCTTCGACATGTCGTAGACCGCTACCGTCCCACCTAACAACAATTTCCGCTCCCTCTTCCAACACTTACCCAGTAAATCTACCAACAAACTTTAGAAAGAAAAAAACAGCGGTATTTAGTAGAAACGCACGGTGCGAGTAAACTTACCAGTTACGGAGAAAAGTTGACGTATTTCAACTGCTTGCGGTAAATGAATCGAGCACAATAACTTGTGTTCGCGCATTTCAAAAACGTCCAAGTACGAACCGTTACCTGGAATTATCCTAGTTAATAATAGCAAATTACTATACTACTAATTACTAAGGCGGAAAAGCAAAAAACGGATGTCAAGTAAATAATCCGACCGCCCCCTTCCCCCTCCTATATATTGATGATTCTCCGATAATAAGGGATTTTACTGAAAAAAAAGTTTTACCTGAGAAAAGATGGTCCTTGTGAACGACAACAGCGAGACGTCTGCAAAAAGCAGCCATTTTTACCCTAAAAATAAGTGATTGCCTGCTTTCAGACTTCAATGGCACAACCGACGAGCGCGCGCCTGATCGACGGTGTTGCTGGCTATGTGTTGACAACGCTGGACGCCGATGGATCACGCGCCAGCGTGTTGTCAACAAGTGGCTAGCGCCGCCGTCGGTCGAACCTCGCTCGCGCCCGCGCTAGTCGGTTGCGCCGTTGAAGTCTGTAAGCAGCTACTAAAGTAGGGTTGTTAATTAGCTTGATCTCAGCAACGTTATAGTAAGAGTAACAGTCAGAACAGTGTTAGTGATGTTAATGCATGAACACGCGGTTATGGAAGAGTGAACGTAAACAAACAACAATGGGATTGATGCCAGCTAGAGTTACACATGACCGCCAGTGCTACGCTACTCATAGAAATTAGTACGAACTTTCGATTTCGTAGAAAGTTCCGCTGTTTTTTTTTCTCTCGCATATCACAAGGATTATTTGAGTAAATAACGAAGACCATTGTGACGAAAAAATTTCGCCCTAACACGAGGATTAGAACTACGAAGTTGCAGCGAGGATTTCATGCTTTCTACACCGCTGATCTATTCAGGAACAATATTTCCGCTACATTCTTGCTTAATTACTGGCCAATTGCTGTTAACTTATGAGAAAAAAAGTAGCTTCCGTGTTTTAACGATCCTATTAGATTGAGGGGAAAAACCACAAGGTGATCATGTTCCGTTACCACTCACTTGAAGAAATTCTGCGAATGGGTGAAAAATTGTAGTGTCAAGTGCGAAAAGTTAGCAGGCCAATAAAGAATGTTCAAGGATCTCTGCGTCCCTAAGCAAAGTGGATAAACTTTAGAACCGTAAAATGGGACGTAACTGTATCGAAGGAGTAACGTGAAGCAAATGGTTTGGTGTGAGTTGAAGACAGTACGGAGGCAAAGTTCATTTAACAGAACACCAAACGAGTGACTCCACACAATTTTATGAAAATGGATGAAGTTACCACTAAAGGCTTACGGAACGGCGGCGACGTGGGATGGCAGACAATCTCTTTCTCATCGGAGAAGCGGAGCTGTGATTATCTTGGAGAACAAAGAAAGGAAGACGAGATTCACCATACTTCAGAACTTTATGTAATGCCAAAAACGAAAGCAAAAAAAAGAAAAAAAAAAACTAAAACAGAGAGCATCGCCCCAAGGCTTGAGCATGCGACCGCCTCGCAGCTGCTCGCATTGGTCGGAAACAAGTGCCGCCCCTAGCTAACCGCCAGTCACGCAGCTACCGTTTTCAGGGGGAAGGAGAAACTGGAAAATCCACCGTTTCATTTTATTCCCCTGTCAGAAATCGTTTTTTAATGGGACACGTGATATGGATGGATTGTTGGCAAACCGTACAATTAGTCAGTGACTCTTTAAATGCGGCTGTGCTTGTATCACAGTAATGTTGAAGTAATTAAAACTAAAACATAAATCACGATAAATATCATTCAAGCTTATGGAATGAGCAAGAAAACAAGAACCACACGATGAATTCAAAAAAAGATCTGGTTCAGATCACAGATCACAACAAAACAGACCAGTCGATGTCGTGGACAAGACAAGAATGAACCTCCTGCATCCATGAGCTGCCATCGCGTCTGAACCTGTCACGTTCGAACGCGTTCAAGTTCAACTCTTGCAGTTCATGTTATGGCAAAGGAAATAAAGGTGTGTTTGTCCATTCTGAGCTTGAAAAAGCTGTTGGAACTGTAGTGTAAATGCAAAAAGGGAATTGTTGCACTTGGTCTAACAGGCACTTTATTGTTTTCGTCACATGATAGAAACTCGCATTTCCTTTCCTTTCCAGGGTTGCTCAGAAGGCATTTGATGAAATCTGGTTCCATTACTAAAATGTACAACATAGCCAAGTTTTGACGACATTAGCAGATTCTGAGCCATGTAGTTCCATTTGTTCTACATCATTTGAAGACTCAGTTCAGGATAGTTTTAGGGTGCCTGGTTTTAGACGTATAATGAAAGTGATAGACCAGAATAAATTAAAAGGCACGAAGGTCAGCGTATCGAAAGTTGCATAAGGCTTTGGAAAAGAAGTAGAATTAGAAATTGAGCCACAATGTGATGACAGTTTCATGGAAGGGGTGTTTGGACGAGCTGTCAAAACGTGCGCGCCATCATTGCATACAGCTGGCTACAGCAAGTTGCCTGCGTGCAACGTTTGGTCCCTGGGCGAATGATGCAACCTCTACAGCTTTCACAGCACTTGAATACTTGTCCGCCTTGATATGTACGTCGACCAAGGGGCAACTGTGCGCGCATATCCGACCGGCAGTGTATGAGCAACCAATCTCCTGCACTACTATCTTCGAAGTTGACCAAGCTCTTGAAACTAGTAGAATAAGCTCCTTAAACCACAAACAGAGATTTCATTTCGATTTTTAGTTGGTTGGTCTGAGTGGCAACTGGTAGGTTTCCAAACGTTTCTAGGCTTTTGAAGCTCGGAAGTAGTCGAAAATAAGGCAAAATCAGCATCATATCATGGAAAACCCAAAAAAAAATCACAGAAACACTGGATGCTCAGGTGTAAGCAAGTGCCCAAGTTTTAAGAATTACGCAGAGTAAATAGAATTTTTCCACTCCATCACGAGTCGTCATAAACATGCAGAAGCGAGTCTCATTGTACGAAATATGGTGGCTCGCCTTCAATCCGTTCTGGCCAAAGTCGGTTGACGACCTGCTTGGAAGACAAGTGAATGCTGATGCGATTCAACGATATGTTTGTTTGTATTTCACTAACGGTGGGTCCGTCTCTAGAGCTGTGATTAGCTAAAAACTAGGCTCTATGCCTATCTACTCTGCTTACCTCCTGCTCCATCCTATATAAATCTTTGTTCAAAATTTTTTGGCAGGCAAGGTGCATAACATTTTGCGTTCTTCAAGGTGCTACGGAATCGACAATGGTCAGAGTTTGACAGTAAGCGTAAATGCACGCCAGAGTTCAGTGCTCTGAAGAACGATCCAAGGAGAATTCATCACGGGCCCATCACGCTGTTTCTTCATGACTATAGGATACGAGATGTTTCAGAGGATTTTTCGTGTCCCGGTAGCCGGATCTTGACCGATACTCTGCATAAACGATACTCTTGGCGGCAGAGAGCGGCAGAATGGCACTTGAACCATAAAACCTTTCAATTTCTATCGGAGCTTAACTAGGGCATCTGACATATCATTGGTAACCAGCATTAGGAAAAGCTCGTGGAAAAACTATTTATTGCAGTCAATATTTTACAATGTCTGACAGCTTTATTAACCGTGGCTTTCGGTTGTAAAAGGTAGAGCGAAACAGCTTCTCACATGAAGCCCGTTCAGAACAAATAGAATACCAACAGAAGCGTTTGTAGTCACCGATCGTTTGACGGTGATTCGATGCGGTTGTTACTGTAAACTACCATCCGGCATCGCTACAGTCAACGCCTCTGTCGATGTTCTCTTAAAATCTGAATGGACTACCATATAGTCAAGCAAAATGTACAGTGAATTTGATCATCTGATACAGTTCATCCGTACTAAGAATGTTTGTTGAGCCATGATGTCACTTCCTTCTTCTTCTGATCTTCAGATACTTCGTATGCACGTCTCTGAATCAGATGAATATCATTCTTGAACTTAGGGATTTTTCATCCAATATGCAAAAACAAACGTGTAAAGATGGATTCTCTGAGTTGTACAAGTATAATTGGAACCCCAGTGTTCTACTTTCGGATACTTCTTAGCCCAATTTTATCTACTCTAGTCTAATAATCGTGGAAGGATAGCCTACAGAAACCATTCAACAAAAGACCTCTACCACTATTCGGTTGCGATTTGGGAGGGAAGCAAAAGGTGCGGTACCCGCCGTAGGTAAATCCGAATTTACGAAAAAAAGCGTGATCTCGCAATCTCCTTTTTTTTTGTTGTAAATCCATTCAGAGCTGCTTTTTTTCAGATTCTCAAAGTGCAGCCTTGTGGAGCTCAAAAAGCAGTGTCCTTAGGAATAGACAAACTCTAAAAAACTACGCTCTGTCCAGATGAGAAGAAAA